CAAAATTTTGACTGCAAGCTTCAGATGCTTAAAAAGAACAAAACTTGGCAGCCGATAATGTTGGGGGCTAGCTGCCAGTCAGTGGGCAGGCAGCAGCTGAAGTGAACCAATGAGATGCCACCGCCGTTTTGCCTGTGTGAATCCAAAGATCAGCATCCGTGCCAACTTTCCAGGTGACGCAAATGAATTTTGGAGGATAAGCCATCGAAGGGAAACAGTGGCTGAGCTGAGCTTTGGCAGTAAAAACAAGCTCTAAGCTAAATACCATCAAATCCTTGCCCAACTTAGTAGGGCAGGCTACAGATTCACAGTGTTATGGGGTATCTGTAGGATCATCTCACCTTCGCCCTTACTTCAGAGACAGGCATTGATAAATAGAGCATCCTTGAAAGATGGCTGTCCAACCGTTCTGTGAAAACCTCCCAAGATGGAAGCTGCCTTCAGAGACAAGGGCGAAAGCACTTTGGACAATCTCAGACGCCTTCATTATTTTCCCACCTCCCCTGCAGTCGCCCTAAACCAACTGCCCATCCCAATTCTTTAGTGGCCTTTATTTTCTTTATGACACCCTTTTAAATGCTTGAAAACATAATATATTGTAAGGTAAGGTAAGGTAAAGGGACTCCTGACCATTAGGTCCAGTTGTGGCCAACTCTGGGGTTGCGGCGCTCATCTCGCTTTATTGGCGGAGGGAGTCGGCGTACAGCTTCCGGGTCAAGTGGCCAGCATGACTAAGCCGCTTCTGGCGAACCAGAGCAGCGCAGGGAAACGCTGTTTACCTTCCCGCTGGGGTGGTACCTATTTATCTACTTGCACTTTGACGTGCTTTCGAACTGCTAGGTTGGCAGGAGCAGGGACCGAGCAACGGGAGTTCACCCCGTCGTGGGGATTCGAACCGCCGACCTTCTGATCAGCAAGTCCTAGGCTCTGTGGTTTAACCCACAGCGCCACCCGCGTCCCTTAATATATTGTACTGAGTGCCATAAATGTACTGCATGTTAATGTTTAGCTGTAAGATTTTAAGATGCCCAGTAAGAAATTTCAGGAAATTCTGATATTTACCGGTAAATCTCAAGAACAACCAAATGCCTCCAGTAAACGTTGAGGTGTCGTGCTCAGTCCATCTGGAAAAGAAAACCTGCAGCTGTTCGATTGTTTAAAAAAGGCACATGACACATACGTTCCCACCTGAATTGTAGGAATTTCCCGTAAATGTTAAGATGCACCTTTTCCCTGACATGGACCACAGTATATTTGTGTGTATATCTAATATTTTGCACTCTTTTAAAACTGTTGCCATCTGAGTGCCTAGCTTAGGAATGCAAACGGTACCCACGTACGTAAATGGCAAACCAAATAACAATATCAGAGACCTTGGAAGAAGTCTGCTGCAATGGCAAATTGCTCGATTATATTCTCTCTACACAAAGGGAGAAATGCTCCTGGTTTGGACATGACATTTCTATCTGGCACCGTCTCCTGCAAAAATAAACTTGGTTTTGCCGGCAAAATGCCCTCCTTGTCCACAATTTTATTCAGCCTATTTCCACTATCATGGCCTCCCTAACACCCTTCAACATATACATTGGGGGTTTTTTTAATGTGGAATTCCTTGTTATGTTTTGGCAGTCAGTTTAGGCTGGCAAGCAGGGGAGCAAAGCGCCTTGACACAGTTGCATAAATTCATGGAGATGTTTGGGCGATTTCCATTTCTGTGATTCCATCACGATCCAATGAAGTAGGGAAGGATTTCCCCTCATCCTTTCCCTGGGGCATCAGAGATTGGATGTTGTATTTATAGCATTTATTATAAGTATTTGCAAATTACCGTTCCATAAAAATTCCCGGGGCAGCTTACATAAAAAGAAAACGCAGAGCAATTATGAGGCAGGTACAACCAATCAAAACCATTACGAAGCGCGGTAATGAAAAGGTAGCGAGATCTTAGAAGCCAGATAAAAACAATCAACAGAAGCAAAATTAATTCTAAAAAGGCCTGGCTAATGTTGAAAGGAAAACAAAAATAGCTGAAAGGTGAACATTTCTGGGAAACACAGAATGGACTCAAACCATATCAAAATATCAGACTTCAAACTTTTTTTCCCAGATGGGGATTCCAACAAAGACGTCTAAAATTAGGATTTCATCCAAATCTGCTTTAGGCTGCAATGCTATACACACTTACCTAGAATGGGTGCCCGTTATTATTATTATTATTATTATTATTATTACCCCGCCCATCTGGCTGGGTTTCCCTAGCCACTCTGGGTGGCTTCCAGCAGAATATAAAAACATAATAAAAAAATGTACTCTCAGGGGAGTTTACTTTTAAGTAAGCATGCATAGGATTGTATTGCTAGCAGGGATGGAAGGAAATGTCTCTCAGTTTCTCATTTTTTTTCAATCTTATGCTCAGTTCTCCAGGTTTCTGCAGCAAATTTCCTTTTTGAAAATCCTCATGAAAATCCTTCAGGATTGTAGTGTGAATTTCTCCCGGCGCACACATTTTTTTCTCTGAAGCTTGGACTAACGTACAAATTTTTTACAGGAGTTTTCTCCTAATATAATGCAAGTTGGTGTTATTTACATTAATATATTCATCTTTTATAAATGCCCCCCCCCCAAAGACATATTGCATTTCTGGTAAACATTGTTTGGTTGGAGAACTGGATTGAAAAATTTGGAGAAGCGAGATTTTGAAGGATGGCGGAGTTCCAGTTCTCATCTTGTTTGGGAAAGTGCGAATTTGATAAATACGGCTTTATATGCAAATCAAATCTATTTTTTTCCCCTGCATCCCAACTGCCAGAACATAATTTCCTTGCAGAGGGAGCACTTCACAGTGCCAGATTTACATATAAGCTAAACAAGCTATAGCTTATGGCCCCACTCTCTTGGGCCCCCCCAAAAAACTGGATGTACATTTCCAAAATATAAGATAAAAAACAAATAAAATAAAGCCTACATACAGCAACAGTGTTTTGTGTTGTGTAGGCTCCTCTGATGTAAGTCATGGGCCCCGCCTGCTAGCCTGCTCTCTAAAATATCACTGGTTTATATATAGGGAGCCTACATTCTGCATGTGCAAATGGCTTTAGATACCTATTAGGTCCACAAATTACCATATAGCATATATTCAACACAAAAAACAGTGACAATTTGTTGTTGACAAAGGACAGCTGGACATATTTGTTGTTGTTGTTTAGTCGTTTAGTCGTGTCCGACTCTTCGTGACCCCATGGACCAGAGCACGCCAGGCATTCCTGTCTTCCACTGCTTCCCCGCAGTTCGGTCAAACTCATGCTGGTAGCTTCGAGAACACTGTCCAACCATCTCGTCCTCTGGCGTCCCCTTCTCCTTGTGCCCTCCATCTTTCCCAACACCAGGGTCTTTTCCAGGGAGTCGTCTCTTCTCATGAGGTGGCCAAAGTATTGGAGCCTCAGCTTCAGGATCTGTCCTTCCAGTGAGCACTCTGGGCTGATTTCCTTCAGAATGGATAGGTTTGATCTTCTTGCAGTCCATGGAACTCTCAAGAGTCTCCTCCAGCACCATAATTCAAAAGCATCAATTCTTTGGCGATCAGCCTTCATTATGGTCCAGCTCTCACTTCCATACATCACTACTGGGAAAACCATAGCTTTTACTATACGGACCTTTGTTGGCATATATAAAGGGCCCCATTACCTTCAGTAGCTTAGGGCCTCCTCAAACCTAAATCCGGCCCTGACTTCACACATTAAGTGTACAACTACAAAAAAGAACCCGGTGTGTAAATGTCATAAACTAGCTTTTGCAAGATCTATATATATCATACTTTGAGTGCCTGCAGCAGCTCCCTGTTGAATGCAATATGTGAGAGTAAAGCCTGCCTGCGACTGCTGATGATGATTTGGGGAGGTGCAAGCAAATGGGTTGATGGGAAGGTGCTTGGGGCATCTGGAAGGTGCAACAGGAGTTGACCGAACTTTGTGGAATGTGAACTGCTGCTGTACAGTAAGGGTACGGAGCGCAGCTTGACAAGCTCCCAACCTAAAAGCTCCAGGCTGATCTGATAAAAGATGACAAGACTCCTGAAAAATGTTTAGACCTGTTTCTCCTTCCCCCTTTCTTTCTGTGTGCTACGATGCGGGGCGGTGGGGGAGCTAAGGAGCTGCAAAATGGAAAAGAGAAGGGGGGAAGGGAACAAAGAAGGGAAACAGCGGTAGCTACAGGAAGACAATACTAGAGTGTCTTTATTTATCGTTGTTGTTATTTATAGAACAGCTATTTAAGGAACAGCTAGAAAGAAGGTCCTTTTCTAGGAAACGGTGGCCTGCTGAAATGAATTGTCTCAGACCTGGGAAATGCACTGATTTAGGGCTGATCTTTGCCTTTCGATTCTGAGTTAGCTTCATCAGAAGTGCGGCTAAACTGCTTAAGCAGCCATACCGCCAATTGAGAGAGCAGAATAAAATCTCTATAAACGCTAAGTTGCTGCGATTGAAGCAGAGCTCCTTGCAACAGCTCAGCTCCTCTGCAAAGGAGCCGGGTGTGTTTTAGAAGAGCCAAGCCGGTGAAACAAAATTGGCAGCTGTGGCAAGAGCGCAGCTTTTCTGCAACCCAGTTTTTAAGACTAAGCAGATGAAGACTAAGCAGACCTGCACGGGTAATACTCTCGAGGCAAATCAAGACCCCTTGCAAGACTTGAGCTCCTCCACAAGATGTTATGGGCTTGAGCAGGTGTCCTAACCCCTCCCTTGATGCACAATAGGCCAGTGTATTAACCAGGTTGGTGGTTCGAGCCCACCCAGGGACAGCTGTGGGCAGGATTCCTGCAGTGCAGGGAGCTGGACTAATGACCCTCAGGCTCCCTTCCAACTCTAGATTTGGAATGGCCCAAATGTTATTTTGGGGTGTAAAACCCTTGGCCTCTAATTCTTAAGTGTGGCCTGGAGAGATAGGAAGTCTCGAATCATAGAATCGCATCTTGTCCAACCCCCTGCAATGCAGGAATATTCAGCTGTCCCATACAGGGATCGAACCTGCAACCTTGGCATTATCAGCACCACGCTCTAACCAGCTGAGCTATCCAGACTTCCCCACATCACTGAGAGACTGGCACCCTACAGGAAGCATAATTGCTGACCCAGTGCTACCGTGCCCAAACCAATAACTGCCAATATAGATACCGTATATATGAACAAGAATATGGGGCGGTACACCCCCCCCCAAAGGCTTTGGGCCACCCAAATGGCACACCTGCATTGCTGGCTGGCTGTCGTAGTTGAGTTGCATGCCAGGCCTCCTAAGAAGTGTGGGGTGTGAAACACAGAGCAGTCAAATACAACATTCCTAGAGTGGACATGTTTAGACATGAGGAGGGATGTTTGTCCAGCCAGTAGATAAACTTCCTGTTTCCTCTTGTGCTGGGACAAACTTCCTCTACATGTGACCAGAGGTGGGCGTGACTTTACCTGTGCAGGTAACGAAAGCACAGGACTGGCCACCGCATCTCTCTCTGACTCCATTCCTCGAGATGCTCTCTTGGCCAGCCAAGAGAAGACAAAGGAACTATCTCCTTATGGGATAGATTCCACGTGTATATATTTTGTAACTTAAGTCTGCCTTCTGGGATCCATTTGTGAACAGAACGTGTGAGTAAACTCTTTTATACTTTCATACAAGGCTGTGTCGCGTCTATTCTTTTTAGGAGGGAATAAAAGGGGAATTACCAGGAAACTTATTTTAGAGGCTTATGCAAGCCTGGCAAACCTATCCGCTGTGTAAGTTTAAAAGGGGAATGTTACTCTGCTAAATCAGAGAACTTGTTAACACAAGTTGGGAAGGATATAATTAAACAATATATCCTCTCCTGCCTCCCTGAACATTCCCACAAGAAGAGACTGCTGGACCAGGTCAATGGACCATCTACTCTGGCATCCTCTTCTCACAAGCCACCCACGTGCCTGTAGGAAACCCACAAATTTGGATTTTCAGCAGCTGGCATTCAGAAGCATTTCTGCCTCTGAGCATGGCCCTCGTGGCTACAGGCCATTGATAGCCCTCTCTTCCATGAATTTGTCCTATCCTATTTTAAAGCAATCCAAGTTGGTGGCCATCCCTTTGTGGGAGCAATTTCCATAGTTAAACTATGAGTTGTGTGAAGTGAACCTTCCAACACTTCATTGGATAGCCACGAGTTCAAGTGTTACGAAAGAGGAAGGAAAACTATCCCTACTAACCATGGTGTGCTTAATTTCATAAGCTTGTATAATGTCACCCAGTGCTTTTTTTTTCTTTTAAAAAAAATGTCTAGGGGTACTCTCATTTTCCTACTCATTTTGAAATACTGCCCCTCAATGAGGCCAAACTTAGATTCACAAAATGTTAAGGGCTATGCGTACCCCCAGGGAAAAAAAACCACTGATGTCACCTCTTACTTTCCTCTCAACAAAAAGCCCCAAACCCTACAACCTCTCCACATAGAGGAATCACTCCATTCCCTTGACTGTTTCACTTGCCCTTTTCTGAAACTTTTCCAACCCTACAATCTACTTTTTGAGGTGATTGTAACTGGTACAATCTGGTACACAGAACCTTTTGTGTGTGAAATGCAACAGCAAGCATGCTGGGCCCATAGCAGTAGTGGCTAATAATAATATGCATAAATGAGGATTTGGGGGTGTGAAGAAGAAGAAGAGTTTGGATTTGATATCCTGCCTTTCACTCCCTTTAAGGAGTCTCAAAGCGGCTAACATTCTCCTTTCCCTTCCTCCCCCACAACAAACACTCTGTGAGGTGAGTGGGGCTGAGAGACTTCAAAGAAGTGTGACTGGCCCAAGGTCACCCAGCAGGTGCATGTGGAGGAGTGGAGACGCGAAACCGGTTCCCCAGATTATGAGACTACCGCTCTTAACCACTACACCACACTGGCTCTCACTGCATCCCAAGATAAGATTTGCACTGTCATAAATCATACATCCACATGATGGGCTTTCGCCTTCCAGGTGCCTGTCTCTGGCACAGCATTTCACTTTGGGGTAAATCCCTCTGAAGCAGGCTTTTCTCCCAACTAATATACAGTGGTACCTCGGGTTAAGTACTTAATTCGTTCCGGAGGTCCGTTCTTAACCTGAAACTGTTCTTAACCTGAAGCTCCACTTTAGCTAATGGGGCCTCCTCCTGCTGCCGCTGCACCGCCGGAGCACGATTTCTGTTCTCATCCTGAAGCAAAGTTCTTAACCCGAGGTAATATTTCTGGGTTAGCCGAGTCTGTAACCTGATGCGTATGTAACCTGAAGCGTATGTAATCTGAGGTAGCACTGTATGTATAAATGCATAAGAATCTGGGAGGGGGATGTACACCCCAAAAGCTTGGAAGTAGAACGAGAACACCAAAATGTAATAATAATAATAATAATAATAATAATAATAATAATAGTTTATTTATACCCCACCCATCTGGCTGGGTTTCCCCAGCCACTCCGGGCAGCTTCCGACAAAATATTAAAAATACAATAAAACATCAGTGGTTCTGATGTTTCACTGATATAGTGGTTCTTCCTTATACGGAGGAACTCCCTCGTTAGTACGTGTAAGTGTATGCGGTTTTTAATTAGAAGAAAAAGCAATGTTTTTTAAACACTGAAATGGAACGTTGTGGTTCAGTCGAGAAAAGAAGAGTGTGGGGAGGAAGAAGCCTGTTCACCTGTGTCGCTCCTGTTGTTGTTGGACTCGCATTTCCCATCAGCACCAAATTGCATGACTAAGAATGAGGGATGCTGCCCTGGAGCAGGGGGTTAGGAGATGAGGGTTGCGCAGTGGCATAGCGTGGGTTGCCAGGGCCCGGGGCCATGCAGAGGGAGGTGGGAGGGAAGGAAACAGAGAACACATGCGCATTCAACTGCCTAACGGCATCCACGTCACCCAGGAGATCACAGAGATAAGAAGAGTTGTTCCATTCTCTGGCGAGGTTACTTCCTGGATCACATTGAGAAGCCGTTTTCAACGGAGCCCAGCAACGGAAGCATGTAGCTGTATCGAGGCAGCACCAGGTGTTGGAATTTCGCGCCCCTGTGCCCTCCGCCCACATGCTACACCACTGGGTGTGCGTGCTGCGAGGTTAAAATCCCCTTTCCCTGCACCATACAAGCATAGAGGAGGGAAATAAAATTTTGCCTGCCCGTGCACACACACCAACTGCTATAAGGAAACTGCTTAATACCAGTCCACACCACATGCCATGCTTTTAAATAAACAAACCAATAGCAAGTGATCTGACTAATGGTTGCTTTTGCCATTCTGAATACCTCCAAGAGGGTCCTTTAAGCTTGCCTCCCTGCACCTGAAAGGCCTTCTCCCCTTTCCCCATAGAAATCTGGCTTGGTCATGGTGTTCCCTGGTTTTAAGATGTCCGCTTAGCTTCCTCCAACCATCACCACCCCAGATCTCCTTCCGAACATCTCTCTCTAGCTCTAAGTCCCTGTTTCTTTCCCACCCTCCCAAGATCCCCGTTTTCTTCGGAGCTTGTAGCCTTCGAAACAGGAACACTCGCAGATCCCAAGTCATCAGCCCAGTTACCTAACTTGGAAGTCCTCTTGGCTTTGGCAGGAGGAGGAGGCGCAGAGCGGAGCCGGTGCCAACTTCGTACCTCTCCTTGCTGCTAAAAATAAGCCGCTGCTTCTTGCCCCCAAGTCAGGTTACCTCCAGAGGTAATGACAACAAAGCAAGCAGCCAGTTAAAGAGCAATTATCCCAACCTAATCGCTTCCCCGGGGCAGGGAAGGCTGCCAAAGCTCAGCACTGCTGCTCTGCGGAGATGGTTCTTCTTTTTAGAGTGGGCCACACCTCTCATTGTACAAGGAAAAACCTTCCATACCTACAGGGGCCTGTCCTGTCAACTAGCTCCCCAAATCTGGCCTGATAACCCCACCCCTCAAGCTTTTAGAGTTTACAGTGCGCTTATTGCAGATCATATCTCCTCGAAATGTTTGTAATTTCCCCCATTTCCCAAGTAGTATTAAATTTGAATATATTATTTCAAAGCAGCGGCAGGGAACTTGTTGTTGGACTACCGTCCCCATCATTCCTGACCATTCCCATCATGCTGGCTGGGGCTGATGGGAGCTAGAGTTCGACAACATACGGCGTGCTGAAGGTTCCCACCCCACGCTTTAAATCCCCGGAAGGGGCTTTTATTTATTTATTTTAATTGATTGCCGGAAACCTCAATAAAAGCATCTGGGATATCACTGTACCTTCTGATCCTGATTACTCAGAGTCACTTTGCACATGCTCAGAAAAACTCTTTTCAGCTTCAATGAGTGTCAAAGACTTTTTGCCTTCCTGTTGTAGCAAAAAAAAAAAGAGAGAAAAGTTTTGCGGCGGCGCATTTACTATGGCATCATCGTTATTAACATTATCATTACTTATTAGTTTTATGTGCCACCCTTTATCACAAGATCCCAGGGCAGTAGACTGCATTAAAAACACACTTGACGGTGCATCATCATAATAAACATAACAGACAGCATAATAACAGACAGCATAATAGTAAAATAATCTTAAAAACAGTCCCCACAACCACCTTTCACAGGCCATAGATTATTTAACGGCTAAAGGCCTGGCCTGGGTAAAGAGGAATGTTTTTAGCCAGACGCCTAAAGACTTGCAGTGTTGTCGCCTGTGAGCTTCTCTAGGGAGAGCATTTCACAGACGAGGAGCCACCACAGAAAAGGCCTGTTCTTATGTGGCTGCCCTCTGAACCTGTCACGGAGTGGGGACGTAGAAAAGGGCCTTGGACGACAAGCGCACAGTCTGGGTTGGCTCGTATGGGGACAGGCGGTCCTTAAGATATTGAGGTCCTGAGACATGTGAGGTTTTATAGATCAGCACCATAATGCCAGGTTTGGCATTAGATGCTCAAAGTACTTGTGGACTTAGGAGTCCATTTCATCACATGCAAAGACATGGATGGCAGGTATGGAGGAGCAAAAGTTGGGTTCAACTAACAGGCAGTTAAACTAGCATCTATGGGGATGATGATTCAATCGAAGCCTAAGGGCTTAGGGCTAGTATTGAAATTGGGTTGATTCAGGGGCTGAGCCTGGTCTCAAACCGAGCCCTGAGGAAGCCCAGTACTAGCACTGTTTGTCTTGGCTCATGAAACCATACCTTAAGACTGGTGGGAAGCCTGGGGCACCCTTTATGGTTGCTGGATGATGACCCCTGGCCATGCTGGGTGGGACTGATGTGAGCTGGAGTCCCAAGTACAACAGGAGAAACGCAGGATTTTCACTAGTGCACTGCAGGGCTGACAGCTCTCATTTTTCCAAAGAAAGTGCCCGGGATTGCTCAGAGGTGATGCATAAATTGAGTGGATAGCTCAGTTGCAAGAGCAGGAGACTCTTAATTTAGGGTCGTGAGTTCGAGCCCCACATTGGGCAAAAGATTCCCGCATTGCAGAGGGTTGGACTAGATGACTCGTGTGGTCCTTTCCAATTCTACAATTCTAATGCCCTATTGTTCAGGTCAAGTCTGTGTCCAGGGCAGCTGTTTATCAGCTCCATCTGGTACGCAGCCTGAGACCCTACCTGCCCGTGGACTGTCTCTCCAGAGTGGTGCATGCTCTGGTTATCTCCCGCTTGGAGTACTGCAATGCGCTCTACGTGGGGCTACCTTTGACCCGGAAACTACAATGAATCCAGAATGCGGCAGCTAGACTGGTGACTGGGAGTGGCCACCGAGACCATATAACACCCGTCCTGAAAGACCTACATTGGCTCCCAGTACGTTTCCGGGCACAATTCAAACTATTGGTGCTGACCTTTAAAGCCCTAAACAGCCTTGGTCCAGTATACCTGAGGGAGTGTCTCCACCCCCATTGTTCAACCCGGATGCTGAGGTCCACCTCCAAGGGCCTTCTGGCGGTTCCCTCCCTGCGAGAAGTGAGGTTGCAGGGAACGAGGCAGAGGGCCTTCTCGGTAGTGGCACCCACCCTCATCAGATGTCAAGGAAATAAACAACTATCTGACTTTTAGAAGACATCTGAAGGCAGCCCTGTTTTGGGAAGTTTTTAACGTTTGATGTTTTATTGTATTTTTAATATTTAGTTGGAAGCCGCCCAGAGTGGCTGGGGAGGCCTGGCCAGATGGGTGGGGTATAAGTAATAAATTATTATTATTATTATTATTATTATTATTATTATTATTATTATTATTGGTGTGGGTTGTGTTGATTGCATGCTGATTGCAGCATCTGGGATTGATAATATTTGTACCCTGTCCATCCAACCGGGTTGCCTTAGCCACTCCAGGAGGCTTCCAACATAGATAAAAACACCATAAAAACATTACACATTAAAAAAAGCTTCTCTACACAGGGCTGCCTTCAGATGTCTTCTAAAGGTTATATCGTTACTCATCTCCTTGCCATCAGGGTATAAATATAGTATTATTATTATTATTATTATTATTATTATTATTATTATTGCTATTCTTTTCATGCTTTTCATAAATGCAGGAATGTGCGGCCTACCACCAATTGTAGCAGGGAGATGTAGCATGCTGTACTACAATTCCTTTATCCCCTAACTGTTGGCCCTGCTGCCTGGGGCTGATGAAAGCTGGAGCCCCACGATATCTAGAGAGTCCCAGGTTCCCCGCCCTTGTCTGACAAGGTTGGAGGAGAGGAGAGCAGAGAAGGTTGCCTGGTAGCAAGCCTTCCTGAGAGGGAAGGCCCCCTAGATTCCCAAGGAAGCTTGCGGCCTAGGGCTGCAAGCTCAGGAGAGTCTCCATTCGCCACATTTCGATGGTGCCTCCGACGGCCGCCTGCTCCAGCCATCATCCCTCCCGGCGCAAGCTGCTGACTTCCGTGCAGCTTACATGGTGGGCTGATTCCATTGTGGGATCAGCAGCAGAAACCTCCCGCCCCCACGGACAAGAGGGTATAAGCATCTTCTAATGAGGTAGCCAGGGAAACGGCCCGGTGGGGTTAAAGATGCCTATAATGTCTGTGGTTGCCCTTTCGATAAGGAGCACTCTCAGCAGGGGTGAAAATAAAGGATCACAAGGGGAAAGGCTTTAGAAAATGCCCAAGGCACAAGATGCTCAAATGCGTGTCGGACACTCCCCCTGGCCTGCTTGTCTTATAATGAAAGTGCTCCGAGGTCAGGCTGTGGCAGATGAATGATACGTCCCCGTTTTCAAGTAGGAATGCTTAAGAAATCCCCCATCGCTCTGTCCTCTAAACCACCCAATCTTGTTTCCTGAGGTGCACTAATACACTTGTGACCCACGGTTCTTTGGTATTTCTGGACTTTATCCAAAGACCACACCACCTCTGCTTCTTCTGCTTCTTCTTCTTCTTCTTCTTCTTCTTCTTCTTCTTCTTCTTCTTCTTCTTCATATATTTATGCCCCAGCCACTCGGGGCCGCTTCTGACACATACAGTATAAAAACATAATAAAACGTCAAACATTAAAAACTTCCTGACACAGGGCTGCCTTCAGATGTCTTCTAAAAGTTGGGTAGTTCTTTATCTCCTTGATATCTGATGGGAGGGCGTTCCACAGGGCAGGTGCCACTACCAAGAAGGCCCTGTAAATTCATTTCTCACAGTTAAGGAACTGCCAGAAGGCCCTCAGAGCTGGACGTCAGTATCTGAGCTGAATGATGGGGGTGGAGACGCTCCTTCAGGTATACAGGGCCAATTACGTTTAGGGCTTTATAGGTCAATACCAACACTTTGACTTGTGCTCGGAAACATACCGGGAGCCAGTGTAGATCCTTTAGAACTGGTGTTATATGGTCCCAGCGGCCGCTCCCAGTCACCATTCTAGCTGCCACATTCTGGTTTAGTTGTAGTTTCTGAGTCACCTTCAAAGCGCATTGCCATAGTGTAGTTTGCTGTCGTTTTCATCTTGTGCATATTTCGTCTTCTGCGTTCCCCCACCACTTACAGCAGGGGCCAACAAACATTTTCAGCAGGGAGCCGGTCCACTATCCCTCAGACCTTGTGGGGGGCCGGACTATATGGGGGGGGGGATGAACGAATTCCTATGCCCCACAAATAACCCAGAGATGCAGTTTAAATAAAAGGGCACATTCTGCTCATGTAAAAACACACTGATTCCCGGACCGTCCGCAGGCTGGATTTAGAAAGCGATTGGGCCGCATCCGGCCCCGGGGCCTTAGTTTGCCTACCCCTGCCTTACAGCTTACTGATAAACACTAATGCATGCACTCATGCTAAAAACCAAAGCACAAAATGATCACATTCCGTTTCTATTTTGCACTGCTTAGAATTACTGGCATTGGTAAATGAGCCATCGCAGTTGAAATGCAAGCCGGTTTCACAGCGATTCAAAAGTAATGCACATAAATTCAACAGCAATTTATAGTAGAGTCAGATCACGTATTTCCCTAAGTGTCACTTAATCTGGTGATGACGAATCAAGGAATGGTCATTTATGTGTGAACTATCCACTAACATCATGTCAGATAAACCTTTGTAGTACAGACCACTAGACTATAAGCAAAGAGAGCAGGAGACTGCATAGTAATAAATTCAGATAACTCAAGTCCTGAGGCAAGCCACATCGTACTTGAGAAAAACAGGCATTAACCCGGCAAGGTGTGCTTTACATAAAGTGTTGCATGGATATATTGGCATCCTGGGGCCCTGTCAGATTATAACCTCTGCTCTTTATCCCCGTCAGGTAATTGAGGCCCAAGCAGTTCCACCATTTCAAAGTCAATTTAATACTTTCTGGTCTTCCAAACCTTTTAGGGGCTTTCACTTTACTGCTCTCTTGTTGCTACTTATATTGATTTTATACAAGTTCTATTAATCTTCTCTGTCTTTTAAATAGCCTTGTTTTTACCGCCACTGTCCTCTGCGTCATTTTATATTGTCGTTTTATCTTTTGTTAAATAGAAAAGCAGCCTGGAGACACAAGAGACAGGTAGATAATTCAGGGCCGGATGCCAAGGTTGATCTGGGTGAGAAAATTCATTCTAGATCAGCGGTTCTCAACCTATGGGTCCCCAGATGTTGTTGGACTACAACTCCCATCATCCCTGAGCTCTAGCCTTGCTAGCTAGGGGTGATGGGAGTTGTAGTTCAACAACATCTGGGGACCCACAGGTTGAGAAAGGCTGTTCTAGACTATTAAATTTGGAGGTCAGTAAGAACCTGGGAATGAACAATCACCCAACCACTGAGAAAATCGGGGGGCAGGGGGAGAAGGCAAATCTGCAACACCATCCATTGTCCCCAGATGATGTATTCCCCAATGATCCCCAAGGAAGAGGACCATCCCATGATCCCACTGAGGTCCAGCACTGAGGGCCTTCTGGCGGTTCCCTCGCTGCGAGAAGCCAAGTTACAGGGAACCAGGCAGAGGGCCTTCTCGGTAGTGGCGCCCTCCCTGTGGAACGCCCTCCCACCAGATGTCAAAGAGAACAACAACTACCAGACTTTTAGAAGACATCTGAAGGCAGCCCTGTTTAGGGAAGCTTTTAATGTTTGATGTATTACAGTATTTTAATATTTTTTTGGGAAGCCGCCCAGAGTGGCTGGGGAAGCCCAGCCAGATGGGCGGGGTATAAATAAATTATGATGATGATGGAAAAAGCTCTTCCCAATCCTTTGCTTGGAGGTGGGGGAGGATAGAATACTAGATAACCTTTAGCTAATTTGACCAGTTTTCTGAAATCCCCAAAGGTATGTAAGCCTTAAGACTTGATTTGCAGAGATGCATGAATTGCCCAATAGCTCAATGGACCCGTCCCAGCTGAAGGTGCAAATTGCATCTACTGAAGTGCTGGTGTATTTGGGAGATTGAGGCTACACTGATGATGACCATGGTAAGTTTTCTTGCCCTAGCATAACTTGACCATCCAGCTCATCCTGCCAAATGATTAAGGACAATTTTACCACACATCATCAGCTAATGAAAAGTTGGGGGGGGTACCTTTGATCCAAAAGACATTGGACTACAAATCCCATCAGCCCTTGCCAGTGGTCAAGGATGATGGGAGTTGTAGTCCAACTACATTTGGAGGGTTGAAGTTTCTCCCGCTGCTGAGTTAATGTATTGGGGAAATGACAGTCCAGATAACCCCCATGTCAGGTGATAGGGACACTCCATTCATGATCCTCAATGGCCACTTCCCATATTCAAGTTCCACTACGACACTCCTGGTTTTTTCATCCCTAAGGGTGCTTAGCCCACTCTTCCCTTTCCCTCAGAGCCATACCAAAGATGAAAGGTACAAACATTATTTTATGTACAGTATTGGGGATGGGTTTGGTTCATGTTTAAGATGACTCAAGGCCGTATTTCGAACCAGGAAGCAATTAGTAGATGAAATTGGGAGAGAGTTGGCTTTTCTGTTGGAATAATTTGCTCTGTGGTTGTTTCCCTGGATTCCACCCGCTTCTGGCA